GCACTTTTCTATTTGGGTAGTTCTTTCTAAAAATATCGAGTTGAACAAACACAATTTTTGTATTTATGAAACAAATAAGTTCTTTCAACGGTATACCATTTATATATATATATATATATATATATATATATATATAAATTTATCCACTCGATGTTTCGTTTGCTTTTTCTCTGTTTACTAAAACGCAGTTTTCCAGAATGACCTTTTTTGCTAAAATCAGGGATAGACAACATATGAAACATTTTTTGACAAAAAAGGAATTAAATTTATAAACTAAATACAAACTAGTTGTAAGTGGCATTTTGCCTTAACGCATGTTGCATGAACTTTTCCACATATTTGGTTTGGAATATTTGTCAATGGCTTCTTATAATTAGATCTTCTTCAATATTTTCAAATATTTCAGGCTCATTCCTTTTAAACTTTGATGATTTTTTATAATTGGACCATTTTTTTCAGGCCTATAATATTTTATGATTTTTATTTTCAAGATTCATAAAAATCGTCAACTTTTTTGCAGACTTTTACCAAAATTTGTAACTTAAATTAATTCTTTGTAACTTAAATTAATTCTGTATCATAGGGTAACGTTTAAGACGGAATAAAATTTTCTGAATTAAAATATATCTTTATACTTAAAACTGATCTAAAAATTCCAATCATAAGATTAGATTCTAAAAAATATATTACATATATATTATATATACTATGATTACATATATTATGAAAAATTCTTTGGATTTCTTATGTATTTTTTATCACCAAGATTACTTATAATTCTATAATATATTTTGCTATGATTTAACAACAAAAAATATATATGTAATAAAGAAAATAATAATAATAATAATAATAATAATAATAATAATAATAATAATAATAATAATGATAATAATAATAATAAGGAAAACAGTAATGCAATTTTTAAGAATGTAGTTATAAACGTTTTTAGGAATACTTAACTTCATATTAAATATAATACAAATGTTTTTTTTTTAATTAAATAAAAATTACAATCTATCTATAGATAGAAAATGAGTAATAAGATTTATATTTAATAGTGCTTTATTTTTATATGTTTACTAGTTTTAACTTCATAAAATGATGTTTTTCAATATGCGATATACAATATTTAAAATTATTCCTTTAAGGGTGTAAATAAATTGTTGAGTTTTCTAACCCTCGATGCAACATATTTATATTTTGTATATATATATATATATATATATATATTATTTTAATTTTAATTTAAAATTAGTTAAACCACCCTGAAATTTATTTCTAATATTAAATAATTTTAAGTTTCATTGGATTACTTAACGTTTATAACAAAATAAATATATTTTTATTAATCAATCTAAAATAAATTAAATTTCACCTGTACAAGATTGACCACTCCTGGTATGGGTATATATATATATATATATATAAATATATATATATATATATATATATATATATATATATATAATATTCGTATCCAAAGGTATATTTATATTTATTTTCTGCCCAATGTGTGTTTTTGATCTGATTGCAAAGGCTTTGGGGCAAAACAGGGCAACATAAATGTTGTTCCCTTTGATTCGATATAGGAAAACATATTTCTTCTTCAAGGGAAAAACATCCTTTGAAATAAACATCTCAAGTGGCAACGATTAAAATGGATAAAAATCTAAAAATAACCTATATAATCAAGTCACTTGATAAATTTATAAAAAAGTTTTTCATAAGAAAAACAAACACAAAGCCATTTTCATTTATTTTTCCATCAAAACATTTTTACGCTGACCGACAGATCAAACACATAAAAGTTATGAAAAAGTTCTGAGAGATTTCTAAATTAATGGATATTTGTTTAGACGTTTTATTTAATTTTACAGCAAAAACTTTCTGTATGTGTTTCTTATGTGATTTAATTTGCCGCATCGTCTCTAAATTTATAATTTTCCATTAAGAATTTTTACAATAAAATTCTTTGGCAAACGGAATGAAAACATTTCGACAACAGGAATGCACGTTTTGAGGAAATTTATTCGTTTTCTTAAAATAAATGGAGTGGAAATGGTGTTGGTGTATTGAATTTACTTAATTTTTGAAATGGGGAAAGGTGAAATATTTTTTTCGTAAATTTTCCTTACGATTATCATGAGGGTTCAACAAACCCAGAACAAATGTATTTTACCCTGTTTTAGTGCTTAGCCTAAATTGTTTTCATTTTCTGATTCGATATTGGTCGAAACGGTTAAATCCTCTTTTTTAAACTCATTTATGTTTTATGTGACCGACTTTTTTAAAAAAAGCGAGAGACTTTTTTTTTAGAAACAACTGACACTTTATTTTTAGAAACAATACTTTTTTTAAGTACGCAGGTTTTTTTTAGAAACGACAGATTTTTTGTAGTACATCAGACTAATTTTTTAGTACACCAACTAACTTCATTTTTCTAGTGCGACAGACTTTTATAATGAAAAATTTATTTCTTTTGTTTCTAGAAACGACTGAATTTTTTTTTCTAGAAACGACTGACATTTTTTTTTCTTTTAGAAACTACCGACATGTTCTTCTTCTAGAAAGGACTGACATTTTTTAAATCTAGAAAGGATTGACAATTTTTTCTTCTAAAAACGACTGATATTTTTTTTTCTTCTAGAAACGACTGGCTGACTTTATTCTAGAAACGAGTGACCCATTTTTTTTTAGAAACTAGTTTTTTTTTCTCAAAACGACTGACCATTTTTTATAGGAACTTTAGACTTGTTTTTTTTTTTCTAGAAACTATAGGCTTGTTTTTTCTTTCTAAAAACTCTAGACTACTGTTTTTTCTAGAAACGAAAGACTATTTTTTTATAAAAACTCTAGACTTGTTTTTTATAGAAACTCTAGGCTTGTTTTTTCTAGAAACTCTGGACTTGGTTTTTTAGAAACTCTTGGCTTGTTTTTTTTAGAAACTTTGGACTTGGTTTTTTAGAAACTCTAGGCTTGGTTTTTTAGAAACCTTAGGCTTGGTTTTCTGGAAACCCTAGACTTGTTTTTTATTCTAAAAGTTCTAAACTTTTTTTTTCTTGAAACTCTAGACCTGTTTTTTCTAGAAATTCTAGTCCAGCTTTCTTTTTAGAAATCTCATTAGTTTTGGTTTAGAAACCCCATGCTAGTTTTTTTTAGGCTTGTTTTTTCTAGAAACAACTGACGTTTTTTAGGAATCTAATTTAATTTATTTTTAGAAACAACTGACTATTTTTCTAGAAACAACTGACTATTTTTTCCAGAAACGACTATTTTTTCTAGAAACAACTGACTCATTTTTTTTCTTTAAAAGATTGACTTATTTTTTTCTAGAAATTTCAGTCTTGTTTTTGTTTTTAGAAACCATAGGCCTGTTTTTTATTCTAAAAATTCTAAACTTTTTTTTATTCAAACTCTAGACCTGTTTTTTCTAGAAACTCTAGTCCAGCTTTTTTTTTTAGAAACCCCATTAGTTTTGTTTTGAAAACCCCATGATAGTTTTTCTTAGGCTCGTTTTTTTTCTAGAAACAACTGACGTTTTTTAGGAATCTAATTTTATTTATTTTTAGAAACAACTGACTATTTTTTCCAGAAACGACTATTTTTGCTAGGAACAACTGACTCATTTTTTTTATCCTAAAAAAGTCGACTTATTTTTTTCTAGAAACTTCAGTCTTGTTTTTGTTTTTAGAAACCATAGGCTTGTTGTTATTTCTAGTCTTTTACAACTTTTTATTTTTTAGAAACACTGTTTATTTTTCTAGAAACGACTTTGTATATTTTCAGAAACGACTTTGTATATTTTCAGAAACGGCTTTGTATATTTTTAGAAACGGCTTTGTATATTTTTAGAAACAACTTTCTATTTTTCTAAGAAACAACTTTCTATTTTTCGACACAACTTTCTATTTTTCGACATAATTTCTATTTCTATTTTTTTAGAAACGACTTTCTATTTTTTTAAAAACGACTTTCTATTTTTTTAAAACGACTTTCTATTTTTTTAGAAACGACTTCCTTTTTTTAGAAACGACTTTCTATTTTTTTAGAAACGACTTTATATTTTTATTAGAAATAACTCTCCATTTTTATTAGAAACAATAACACTATTTTTATTAGAAACAATAACACTATTTTTTTAAAAACAACTGTCTTTTTTAAAAAGAAACAACTTTATATATTTTTAGAAACGACTTTATATATTTTTAGAAACAACTTAATATATTTTTAGAAACAACTTTATATATTTTTAGAAACTACTTTATATATTTCAAAACACTTATTATTTTATGAAAATACTGTTTATATTTTTTAGAAAGAACTGCCAATTTCGATTTTTTTTAAGAATCTTCGACGTTTTTTTAAACATTCTTTGACTTTTTTTGTTTAGAAACGCCAATTTTTTTAGAAACGTCGATTTCTTTTTTTAGAAACAGTTGCTCTTTTTTTCAAAAATCTGACTTTTTTGAGAAACAACTTTTCATTTTTTTAAGAAACAACTGGCTTTTTCTAAAATTTAAGTTAGATTAAGATAGGCGGGTAAGCAGGAAAACAGAAAAACATTTTGATTATAAACAAATCTAATAATTTGTTGTTTATCATATTATCAAATATTCACACATATCTCAATGTTCCTGTAACTTGCTACAAGACAAAATGCTTGCTAGAACTAATTTTTGACTTTTTGACTAAATTTGACTATTCAAATTAAACTTATTTCCAGCATTTTAAACCAGTATTTTAATCCATGTAAAAATCGACAAAATCTTTACTTACTTAAATCTATTGAAAAACACCACCAGTTCTAAATTTTAATCCAGTATTCCCAAAATACTGACACTAGACTAAATTGGTCAAATTTGGCATCTAGAAAATCAAGAACCTAAAAATAATTTCCACCATAACAATTCTGAACCCAGTACTCTTAAAAATGCAAACCAAACTTACCAACAATCCAACTTTGATATATCCATCAAACTATTCTATATTTTTTCCAGACTAAACCACCAATTCCATCTAAAAACCATTTAAAAATGGAAAAACCACAACACCTGCCCGAATGTCCTTCGGATTTTTTTGACCCAATGTCGGAGCACTACTACTCCCAAGCCAACTCCTTCGAACCAGGACCAAGTGGCAACATCGGGGACTTGCACAAATACAAAACCGAGGAAAAAATAAAACTCTTCATCGCCAATATACCGCGAGAACTCACCGAAAAAGGCTTGAGGAACATCTTTCAAAGTTACGGCGAAGTTCTAGAAGCTTGTATAAAAACCAACACAAATTCCCGATTTGGTTTTGTGGTTTACGAGCACCTGGACTGTGCAGCTGCTGCTATACATGGATTACATTTAAAAAAACCTTTTGACATGGTAGTAAAATTTTCTGAACAAAACCAGACAGCAAAACCAGTCGACGACGTGTCAATTCCTGAATTACCACCAAAGGTACCCGAACGCAATTTACCATCAATAGTCTCCAACCATACATCAGCTTTTATGAAATCAAAATTTTACCACCAAAATGACCCTAATTCTTATAATAAATTTATTACCAAGTTGGCCAAGGATTTGAAGCCTAAAAATTTGGGTAAAAGAATTTTGGAGCACCAGAAAAAAATTTCGGAGTTGATGGATGGTGAGATTTCACAAACTTTTGAGTTTAACGGTTTGGAAAAGTATAATGAATGTGAAAATTGTCAAAATCCAGGGATTTATAAGAAGGGGGATGGATTGTATTTTTGTTCTTTGCATTGTTATGAAAAAAAATCGAAGGAGGAATAATGGATTTAAGAAAATACTAGTGCTATCTATTGTTGTGGTGATGCATATTTTGTTTAACCTTAGTTTTGTTAAATTTATAATAATTTTATTACTAAAAATGTTTTTTTGAAAGTACTTTGATATGGAATATATATTTTAATTTTTTTTCCACAAAATTAACTTAATTTTTGAAATGACAATAGATATTAAATCAGGAATTTTTTTGGATAGAAAATTATATTTATTTAATAACACAATATAAGTAATATGTACTAATTACATAACAAAGCCTCTGGTATTCAAATTTATTATATTTTTTTTTGTAATTATTTCTACTTATTTCTATTTTTGATCTTTGCATTGTCATGAAGAAAAATCGAAGGAGGATCTATCTATTACCATGGTGATGCATATTTTGCTTAATCTTAGTTCTTTGAAATTTACAGTAATTTTTATTACTAAAAATGCTTTTTTTTTGAAAATGTTGATAAGAAATATATATTTAAATTTTTTGTTAACAAAATTTGTTTACTTAATTTTTTTTAATTACATTATTTATTACAACTGTTAGATAATTAACATCTAGCAATAACATAAATTTAAATAAATAAGAGTGCAAAGGATACAACTTACATTAAAATAACATCCGTAGTATGATGATTTGATATAAAATAAAAGCAAATAATAATAAAAATAAAATTAATTTACTTATTAAATTTGGAAATGACAATTGATTAAATTAGAATTTTTTTGTTAATGAATTATATTTATTTAATTACATAATATAAGTAATATGTATTAATTACATAAAAAGCCTCTGGTGTTCAAATTTATTATATTTTTTTTTACAATTATTTCTACGTTTTGAAGATAAAGATTGTCTCCTTCTTCAGAAACTGTTGAAATAAACATTTTATTTAATTTTATTACTTTGCAATAAATAAATTCAATTCAATTTTGATTTTTTCACAATTTTTGTAATTTTTAGTACCTAATAGTGTCGTTCTAAAAATAATAATATGAAATTTTTGCAAAATTTTGACTTGAAAATTAATTATATATGACACTAAAATTTCAACAGATTAAATTTAGAGAAAAGCTTTCTGTTACAAAAATATTTTTTATTAATAAACAATTTATTTTTTTGAACTAAAAGCCTGTTTTTCTAACATTTTTTTTACTTGAAAATAATTTTCTTAAAAGATAAAGATGGATTTGTATTTTTTGCATAATTTTGTCAAAATAAATTTAATTGAGCATTAAAATGACTTCTGATTCAATTTGGAAAAAATATTTTGTTAATGTATTATTTTATATACATAATTTATTTAGTTTTTATCTTTTTATTTATATCCAGAAAGAACGTTAACAATCGTCATTTCATTTCGAATTCAATTTCAAAAAAAAGTTGCCTAATTTACACAAAATTAAAAAAAGTGCTCCTGTATAGTCACAGTCTAAACGCATTTGCAAATTATCCTGTGCGACATTTTTACTTGTACTGTGCTTAGCTTGGCGGCATTTTCACATTTTTCAATCGTTTTTCACAAAATTGGAAAAGTGCTCCAGTACATAAACAGTCTAAACGCACTTGGGTAATGCATTTGTATCCGAGTGGCGCTTAGACTGTGCTTAGCCTGGGTAATTTTGAGAAAAAAATTTTTTTGGTACACACACACATCCATTTAGTTTCTGAGGTATGCCAGTAAAATGTTCAGAAACCTTCAAAACGTCGAGAAATGCAAAACCCTACGGAAGTTATTAATAGTTATCAATCATTCATTGATCAATATTTATTGAATTCCCCTAGAATATTGTATTCTGGTACGGGAAGTTCCAGCAATTTGCCTTAAGGCACGATGCCATACACCACTAGTTTCATTTATTTATTCTTAATATTTGTCTTTCTCAGTACGTATCCAAACCGTGCCATTTAATTAAGACGAGCTAATTAATTCGTCAATTTCCTTGATGTAGTGTTTAATTACATTAGTGTAATAGTGTTTAGACAACATTGAAAACATTGTCTGAGCGAAAATAGAAATAGCCCACAATTAGTATAGTGGGATAGCCAAAACTATAGCTGTATTTGTAGCCTATAGCCGTGAACTAGATCTCGGTGGTCGTATTTTCAATTTGGCGGTCGGGAACGATTTTAAAATTGGACAGATATAGATTTATGGCATAGATATAGATAAAAGAATAAAAATATTAAACTACTACTATTTGGTATATTATTAGCAATAATAATATTAATAGATAGTCCTTGAACTGAGTCAAACTCCAACTCCATTCCCGAGGGAAGAATATTGTGAGAGATTTTCCATTGCCATTTCACACCGCAGTGCCCAAAATGCATTTAAGCTAATTTCAATGGAAAACATATATTTCATCTATATTTTTTTATAACTTTTCTAATTCAATATTTAACTAGTTGGTCTTGGTATTTTGCCTTGAGGCAAGTTACATGAACTTCCCGATATGTGCAAATAATCGGCTTGATCAATAAAAAATAAATTAATTCATGAGTGGATTTATTACACATAATTGAAAACGAACGAACACGTTAACCCGGAGTATTTTCTAAAAGCAAATTTTCAAAAATCAATAATTTTTATAATTGAACCAGTTTCCGTAGGACTTTAATGGCTTAGTATGTTTATTAAGACCAAGTACTCTATCGTTATACCAAGTAAATCGTCTAATTTTAATTTTAACAAACGTCAACAAAACTACATATTTTCTCAAACTTTGATGAATTTTTAAAATTAAACTACTTGTCGTAAGGCCGTAATATTTCAGTAAGTTAAGACCATGATATCAATATCGTTGAAAATTTAATGAAAATTTGTTAAATTTTATAAAAATTTGATACGATGTAAATTTTGATAAATTTGAAAAATTTCATACAGTAATATGAGATTAGTTTTAATTCTTCGAGAAATATTTAAATTGTTAAAAGAAATGTTGGCAAAAAAGTTCTAATAATCGAAAATGTTAAAAAAATATGTATCAAATTGTCAAGAAAAATGTTGGAAAACAAATATTCAAATCGTCGAAAAGAATTAGGAAAAATTAAAATTTTGAGCAAAAATCGAGAAGAAAAATGCAATCGTCGAAAAAAATGGAAAAATGAAGTTGTAATAGTCGTAAAATAATTTTTAATGGTCGGTAAAAATGTTGGGGAAAAATGTTCGAATCGTTGAAAGAAATGTTGGGGAAAAAGTGTTCAAATTGCGGAAAGAAATGTTGTTGAAGAAATGTTGAAATCGCTGAAAGAAATGTTGGGAAAAAAGTTTAGATCCTCGAAAAATGTTGAAAAAAAATGCTCAAATCGTCAAAAAAATATTTAAATGGCCGTTGGATAAAAAATGTTTAAATTGGGGGAAAAAATGTTCGAAATGCCGTAAGAAATGCTGGAAAAAGTGTTCAGATCGCCAAAAAAAATGTTTTGAAAAAATGTTTAGATCCTTGGAAAAAATGTTGGATAAAGGTGTTCGAATTGCCTTAAGAAATGTTGGAAAAAATATTCGAATTGCAGTAAGGAAAGTTGAAAAAAAATTAGATCGCCGAAGAAAATGTTGGGAAAAATGTTCAGATTGTTGCAAAAAATGTTGGAAAATAATTCTAAATAGTAAAAAAACTAGCTGTAAGTGGAATTCTGTCTTGAGGCAATTATGGCATCGTGCCTTAAGGCAAATTGCTGGAACTTCCCATACCGTAACGAAATGTTCGTGGAATACTGAATGTTTTCAAATAGATTATTATGAATATTGTAACATTGTCTAATATTTATAAGAATTATATAAACTGAATTGCAGAGTTGAAATTATTTGTAAAGTAATAAAATCTGAAATATTTTCGATATAAAAAAAAAAAAAAATTGAAACAAATTTTTTTTCCAAAATCAATTATTTTGTTAAGACAAGCAGAAAGTTCTTTGAATCATTTAAATCGGACGCTTAGTTCTCTCAAAAATTGCCATTTTTTACATATTTAGCTCCGTATCTTCAAAATGGCTGGGCCTGCCTTTGCCAAAAACTAATAAACACTTCTCTGAATCATTACTAATTGAATGTTTTTTAGATCATTCAAATCGGATACTCTGTTCTCTCAAAAATTCGATTTTTATTTTCTGCACTCTTTGCTCCGTATCTCCGAAACGGCTGGACCTGCCTTTGCCAAAAACTAATCAGCTCTTTTCCCTATCAATAGGAATCGAATGTTTTTTGAACCATTCAAATCGGTTGATCCGTACGCCCGAAAACGTAGGCGAAAATTTGTATCCACACATACATACACACACATACACACACGAGGTATGCCAAAATGTTCAGAAACCTTCAAAACGTCGAGAAATGTAAAAATTTTCAATTCCGATTTTCGGCCCATTACAATAACTTACCATACGGGAAGTTAAAAATTAGGAAAAAATGAACTATTTGTCGAATAAATGTTGGATAAAAATTTTGGGAAAAAATGTTCAGATTGTTGAAAACTACGTTGGAAAAAAATTCTATATAGTCAAAAACTAAGGAAAAAAATTACAATTCGTCGAAAAAATGTTCAGGTTATGTTATTTAAAAAATATTCAGGTCATCGAAAAAAATGTAATTTTCGAAAGGAACGGAAAAAAGTAGTCGGAAAATATATTTAAAAAAAAATGCAGGAATCGCGGAAAGAAAAGTTGGAGAAATTTTTTCGAATTGCCGTAAGAAATGTTGGAAAAAAATGTTCAGATCGTCGAAAAGATGTTACAAAAATATACTAAATTGGTCGAAAAGATTTAAAGAAAAAATGATAAAAATAATAATCCTGGGAAAAAAATGTTCAGGTTGTCGAAAAATTGTTGAAACTGTCGAAAAAATGTTGAAATGCGTAATTGTCGAAATAATGCTGTAATCTTCGAAAGAAAATGCCATTATCGCCGAAAAAATTGTTGCAATCTCCGAAACAAACGTAAATATGGTATCAAAAAGATTGACCAAACAAAAAATTAAACAACTTTTGAAAGTTTGTGC